CTACCTTTAGTTTCCCACACTTTGGGTGAGCACCTCGCCCCCTGAACAGACCTGGCGGCTCAATTCTAAAGTTTCCAACTTTCTCTCGGCGCCCGTCCAGAATACAGTATCCATATTTCTCTTCTAATCTTAATTTTTCCTCTTTCAACCGTGCTTTCTCCTCCTTTGTCATACTCTTTTTAAGTTCCTTCTCACGTTCAAAATGCTCATTAATAGGCCCAAAGTCGCATTTGCTAAAGTCATCGATTTTTGGATTCTTATTGGACACGGAGAGATATCGATTAAAATCCATTATGACAACGACAACGATGACCATAATAGCAATAACAACTAACCATCGGTGACTTTGCTAATACTTCTTTCCAGTCCTTGAAGAAATTTTTGATAAATGTTGGATTCTTTCCGTAATCTGTGTTGATCATAGCGGCATAGAAGCTGGCCACCTCCTCGGCTTCCGGTGACAAAGTAATCTCTTTACCTGTTCCATTCAATTGTAGACGCGAACACGATTTAGAACAAAGAAAATAAGATAAAATAAAATGAAAAATAAAATAAAAAAAATGCCGAAGCTAATATTGGCAGGCAAACCCACCATCATACTTCATCTTGACGTTGTGTGGAACGTAAGGTGGAGGGAAGTAGACCCCATTGTGTTCCAATGATGTCCATTTCACGCTACCATCATCTTCAGCATTCTGTTGAGACCACCACTTAAACTCATCGTCCTCTTCCTCGTCATCCCGTTCTTCCTCAACATCCGATTTCGCCTTTTGCTTGCCTCGCTTTTTTTCAGACATTTTGTTGTCCGAAGATTCTGCCTCCTTTTTCTTCTTTCGTTCTGGTTCTGATTTTTTTGCCACACTCTTGGAAGATTTTGCTTTGGCAACTTGTTTCTTATCATCAAATTCAGAATCAGAATCATTGCGCTTACGCTTAACCTGAGTCTTATTATTCTGACCAATTGATTTCAATGTGAGTGAAAAAAAAAAAATTATGTGAATGATGTAGAAGTTATAATTCCATTAAAGATTACCTTCATTGAAGTTTTGGCTTCTTGTTTTACTGACTCCGCTTTTGCAGTTGATTTGGTGGTGGCAACCTTTTCCTTGGAAGGGGAGGGTTTGATCGCCGCGACCTTATTAGCCATTCGTTTGGCCAGTGGAACGTCGCTATCGGAATCTTGGGGTTCATGTTTAACGACAACCGTCTTCTTTCCGTTTGTTTTACCCATCCTCTTAATAGCCGAAGCTTCTCTGGACGTCGTTTCAACATGCTCCTTTTTGACAACAGCATCCGGCCCCTTTTTGGGTGTAACCTTTTTATTTGATTTTTTAGGATCATTTTTCGATACAATATTTCTATCATCCCCTTCAGATTCCGAATCCATTCGTTTCCTCTTCGCAAGATTATTATCCGTCTTTGAAACAAGCATATAAATATTACCATTAAAACTTTTTTACGCTAAAGTGCATTTAAATAAACAAATAAATATATATGTAAAATTGATTTACCTTTTCTTCTTTAACAGGGGCACTTGATTTGTTTTTGTTTAACTTGCTGCTAGATCCCGTAGATTTAGTCACCTGAGCAAGAGGTACGTCATCCTCTGATTCCTCCGAAACCACTATACGTTTTGGTCTGCGTCTAATCGGCTTCACTTGGGAGTCAGACTCCGAGGATTCTTCTTCAACCTTCATATTTATTTGCTTCGAGTCAGAGCTTTGTCCATTAACGGTACTCTTTTTCTTTCCGTTAGTTACGGTCATCCTTCTTGCTAACGGAATATCACTTTCGGATCCTGAAAGCGAAGCATCCCTCATTACAATGTCCCCTTGTTTTTTAATACTGGGTTTTCTTCTATCGTCTCTGTGCTCGCCTTTCCCATTTGTTTCAGCAACCAAATTTTTTCCGCTTGGCTTACCCATATCGTTTAGTTAAGTAAATTTACCGTAGTGGAAAAAATTTTTTATGAATTTTTTATTCTATTCAGAACTGTAACCAAAGAAGAAATAGGCAATGAAAAGGGTAACGTTCCGTCGATGTGCTTTTTGAATTCCTGAAAGTCACCTTCGACTGTTCGACCCCGTTTGTTGTTTTTATACTGATTCGCCCCCTAATACTGATTGTTGGAGATTTGAAGTTAATTTTTAAAACTATGAATCACAACATAATCGCATAATTGGCCTGTCAACAACCCTATGTAAATGTTGTGTAGCGTGCTGCGTTGAAAAAAAAAAAAAAAAAA